ATTACACAATCACTTTTCCGTGCTACGCGAGGACAAAAATTCACTTATATTTTAACATCACGTCGACATTAAAGTTAAGTTGCGTCTTCTTCATCGCAAAGAGCAAAAAAAGACATCATCCGGACAAAGACAATAGTCAATTTTATTAAGTTCGAAACATATAAATAGGACAGCCGTACCCACATTTTTTTTTTTCATAACAGCAACGTAGAGACATTCCTCTCAGGTCATTTCGGCACATGAAACTCAACCTTCTACATTCAGCCACGACATCCTTGACCATCTTCAAGCAATCAAGATAAAATTCAAGCTATCCTCTTCTTTTAGATGACATTTGGTCTGCAATGTCTTGCAACTTGTTGGGTAAATTAAATTAATGGCCTAGAAATCAATCGAGAAGTCACAGGTATAAGAATAAATCTTACTTTTTTAGGAGTTTCCAACGTTCTTCTAGTTATTCTCATCTTTTCTGTTGGAGTTTTCTCCGCTAATTCGTTATCAATGATAGTTGACACATAGAGTGGAAGCCTCTCAATAAATTCTCCGCTAATTCATTATTATTAATTTGATCCGTTTATTTTTTGCCTCCTAAGAACACACAATTCGATACATGTATTATTTATTACAAATGGCATTCGATACAATAATAATAACAAGAAATAGTCACTACATATAGTATGATTATCTAAAAAAGGTCGGCACAAAATTATTTTTAATCGGTTAATAAATATTTAGTAAGCCAACTAACTATCCAGTGTGCCTTGCATGTTTGGATATATGCTTTTGTTGAATTAATGTATTTCAAAAGTAAGATTTCAAACGGATCTTGAATACTGTATAAGAAAAGGCACTATTAATGTTGTTTGACGAAATGTTACCAAAGTTGTAAAACTATTACGTCAAATTCGCTATCATTAAGTCAAAAATTTCGTAAGTAAAAGGCTAAGAAATATAACAGGTCACAAAAAACTTAAATATTCCAAGGTCTTTTTTCTCGTGTATCCCAATCTCTGTTTCATCAGTTGTTTCCAAGGATCTAGGTTTTTCTTTTATTAAATAAAAATTCAGTTCCCACACACTCATTTATAACGTGATACGTGATCAGGTA